AGCCCCTGTCTGGTGGGCAGCCGGTGGCACGGGGACATTGTGTGTGGCCTGCAAGGCGCTTGGTTACCGTTGCCGGTGCGCAAGGTGGTCTGAGTCCACTGGTTTCCGTCCGTGGTGTTTTCTTCCTACCGGCACTAAGGGACGTGCATGGAAAGCCAGGGCCCGTGCAGGGAGGTGGGAGCCGATCGCACCCAGCGCGGCCGGTGAGAGCCGGGTGCCCCCCCGGCAGCCCACCCTAGGGCGCCACTGGCCTAGGCCGCCCTGAGAGGACAGGCCCCTGGCCACGGTGCCAGCGCCCCGATGGAGAAGCAGGGCTCGGGGGCCGACAGACGCCAGCTGGGCTGATCTCCCAGCCACTGGCCTAGGCCGCCCTGAGAGGACAGGCCCCTGGCCACGGTGCCAGCGCCCCGATGGAGAAGCAGGGCTCGGGGGCCGACAGACGCCAGCTGGGCTGATTGCGGTTGCCAGGAGCAATGTTTCTGTGAGGTGTCTTGGTTGGGAACAAGGACTACGGCCATCCCAGCTCCTGCCCCATCCGGCCCCACTTGGCAGAGGCTGTTCAGTGTCTTCAGTCCAGTTCCTGGCTGCCCTGCAGCCCTGCTGGGAGAGGCCAGGATCAGGATCTGCCCCCTGGGCCCTAGAGGTGCAAGTCCCTCCACCCCAGCCAGGATCAGCCCTGGGGTAATTTCGTGGCCCTCCGTGGAGCCGACCCTGTTTAGGCTGGAGCGGAGTTTGGCCCTGTAGGGCCCGGGTGGGGGACAGACCCAGTCCTGCACCTGCACAAGGGTCCTAGAACCCAGGTGCCAGCCAGAGTGTCTATTAAACAGCCCCATAGCTGGAGCCCCACGCCCCGTCAGCAGCCGTATGCACCTCGCTGCTGTGTAGCCGTACCAGGGAATGGAGAATCCGCAGCACCCTAGGCGACTGGCTCCCGTGGTAAATCCGCCCACCTGTTCAACGGCTGCCCCGTGTTCCTAGCCTGAGTCGGCCCAGCTTTAACCTCCACCTAATCCCCCGCCCTCGGTAAAAGCCCCCAGACCAAAACCTCCGGACAGACGGGGGCCAAGTCACGCGTCCTACTCACGCCGTGTGCAATCCCACAGGGCGAGGGCTGCAACCGGACCTCCCCTGAGGGGCGCGCAGGAGCCGACGCGGAGCTGGGCGAGACAGGTGAGCTGCAAGGCGTCCTCCTCCGCTGGGGAGGGGCTGTGAGCTGAGAGCGGCTCTGTTGTGAGGAGCAGGGCTCGTGCAGGGAGCGTCCCCAGAAGGTTCACAGGGCCCCTAGGTAGTAAGTCGTACAATGAATGGGCTTGTGGAGGGTCTCGGAACTCTGTACTGTGTGTCATAGGCATTCTACTGTAAGTAAGTCACGGAGAGTCTCCTGTAACTCGCCTTGTGGAGTGGGGAATCTGAGTTCTGATTCCATTTTTGATCAAATACGGTGCCCCAACTTTTCAGTGCTGCTCCTTTGGGAATGCCCCATAGTTTTGGCCTGCAGCCCCACGAGCTGTTCTGGGCTTCTGCCCCCACCAGCTCTGCTGATGCTGCACAGTTCTGAAAACGAGCCCCCCCCCCCCTCCGGCCCTCCCAGCCCTGATCTCCTTCCTTCCACTCCCCCAGACCTGCACTGCCAGACCAGCTCCATCCAGCTTTGGCCTGAGCAGAGATGATCAGTTCTAGGACAAGGCCAAAGTCCCCTGGGGTCTAGGCTGGGGGAGCCACCCAACTCACCTGCAGCCGGAGGCCTGCAAACCCCGGGGGATGGGCTCCTGAAGTAGCAGCCTGGGACAAGGAGAGGGTGAAGCGGGTTAATAGGCAGCAGGGTTAAAACAAACCAAAGGAAGTTTTTCTTCACTCAGCGCAGTGTCAACCTGTGGAACTCCTCGCCAGAGGAGGTGGTGAAGACCAGAACTTTAACAGGGTTTTTAAAAGAACTAGATATATTCCTGGAGGTTAGGTCCATCAATGGCTATTAGCCAGGATGGGTAAGGAACGGTGTACTTAGCCTCTGTCAGAAGTTGGGAATGGATGACAAGGATGGATCACTTGCTAATTCTTTGCTCTGTTCCCTCCCTGTGGAGATTGGTCCTGCCTTGGGCAGGGGGCTGGACTTGATGACTCCTGAGGTCTCTTCCAGCTCTAGGATTCTACAGCTGGCACTGGCCACTGTGGGCAGACAGGACACTGGGTTAGCCGGACCGTTGGTCTGACCCCGTCTGGCTGGTCTTATGAACCATGAGTCCATGAGAAGATGAGGCTGGGTGCTGAGGCGGAGAGGGACAGTCCGGAGCCGCCCAGAGCACTGCTTAAAGTGTGCATGGGAGGGGGGAGCATTTCCAGGGGTCGCAGAGCTGCCCTGCCCCCCAGACCAAATGAAATACGGAGCCGGCTGGCTGAGGGGCGCCCGCTG